ATTTAAGGTACATAGAGGGTAGATGACGAGGTGTAGGTCAAGGTCTATAGAGAGGATCCGTTTTCGTTATCAGTTGGCAGCGCCGAAGCCAGATAGCAGAACGCTAAGACGTAGCCCAGGAATGGAGGATTCAAAGCACTGGTGAGTACATTGCGAGTTTGGCAGAAACGATGGCATTATGGGATCCCATGCTGCGCCCCCCTTCCCCGTCCCTGAGAGACGGTGGACTCGGTCTGTTGACATGCACCATTCCCAGAAACCAGTGGGATTTGCGAGGGACCTTGCCGATTCTACGAAGGGGACCCCTCGAACCCACTAATTGGTCGGAATCCTGACCCTTGGTGGATCCTTCAACCTTCAGGCTCCATGATTTCGCTCTGGAGCGTGCCTTGGTTCAAAACGTTTGGGACCTGGTTCTGTATAAGTTCAAGCCTTTTACTTAGTTCTAGGTTTGACAGAGCTTGTCGCCTTGTCCAAGCTGTTTCACATGTACTCTCACAGGTGAACTGCTCCTCGAAGCTGCGTGCTAAGCGGTTTAGAAGGATTCAGTTTGAGACTGTAGTTGACCGTCGGGAGCATTGACAGCTTGCGCCCTCTTGCAATTGGTGATCAGCCCATTCTGCAGGTACAATCCGTGCCTGGCCTTACAAACGAATTGCGCACTATCTATGACTTTTCCCAAGTATGTCAACTCCCAGTCACTCAAGCGTGCGAGGTTAAAGCCGCAGACAAACAAGGCCTTCACAATAGTAGCAGGTTAAAGTTAACAATTCTGGTACAGCCATCTTCATCTGTATGCGGCCACCATTTCGTCATATGAGTTGCGTCGCTCACCCTAGAATTGAAGCCCCCAAGCACCCAATATGACCTGGAGGTGGGTGGGCAGCGTGACGAAGAATAGTCAACACAGTATAGTATAGCCCCTTCACTCAAAGAACAGGGGCACTACGCGTAGCCAGGTTTGTGGCTTTACGATTTGGACGTTTGTCAGAGCACTAGCTGTTCAGGCCTGCGCTTGTTCCTCTTAATATGAAGGCCTTACCCTAGCCACTTAGATTGAAGACTTCTAATGCCAGTGCCCAGGCTGTGAGTGGTGGCAACGACTGGATGCAGTATGCAGAGACCCTGAGGGAGATCAGCAGCCTTGCGTGGCATTATGATCTGTGTTTTCGTAGGGAGGGTCATGCGCTACGGGTTTTAGGCCTGTCAAGGGTGCTACAACAAACTGAACACAGCATAGGGCGCGCGAAGCTTGTTGCCAGCTGACTGCCCGTCGGAGAGCAAGGGAAGCCCGTGTGTGCAAGCGTGCGGAGATTCCAGCCAAGGCATGGGTGAGTTCTATTTCAGCATGTTTAACTTTTACATCGCTTTCTGTGTCGTGGGCCTCTTTAATGTGGTCACTGGCGTCTTCGTGGTCTCTTGGATGCATATTTTGAAGATTTGTGCAGCCACCACCAGCCTGGCCAGGTTCGAAGGTTTTTTAACTGCCTCCATTCCTACATTGCCCTAAGCTTGATCCAAGTTTTCAGTAGCAATGCCTTGCCTGCCTCCGGCCCAGTATCTCATAGGCAATCTAGCACGTCAACCCCGAATCCAAGCGCTTTGTGAGGACAGCGCCGTGTGTACACGAACCGAGGATGAGATTGTGCAGGCAGATGCATTTTGTTCTGGCATGTTATGTAGGTGGTAGTTTTGGGGGCGCGCTGCGGCCATGCTTCAAACTGCAAAGGGGTCGGGGTGATGGGTAAGTATGCCGCAACATCATGAGATACATCCTCATATGCATGTACATCATATACACATGTATAATCATGTATGTGACCCAGTACATGTGTTGTACACAGGCAAACCCTGGCTTCTTGAAACATCCGCATGCCATATGCTGAACCCTAATGACTCCGAGCCCAAAGCTGCCTGCCACGATCCAGGGATATCTGGATGAGATGAGATCGATGACTGAATCCATTAAGGGATTCCTGAAGAAGGCCGACAAGGCGCATGGGGTTTGGGGAATTTGCGAGGTAAGGGCAAAGGCCGGCTCACACGTTCGGTTCACTGCACAAATTTTCCCTGGTGGAGCATGACCATGCGTGCGTTTTTCCGGTTCTTTCTTGGCAAAACTGGGTTGTGGATTGGAGGCCAGGTGAAGGCTGTTGCTAAATTGCCTTCCCATCAACTGCAAGCCAGGCACACTTGGTGTCCTTTCATGGTAGTAAAACCGTAGACCCCGCAATAATCATGAATATTGTTACTTGTATTCTTCTTCTTAGCGAGTATTGTGGGAATATGTCTTGTTGAGGGTTTTGGCGGTTGTTTTATTACGGCAGAGCAACAGGCTGAGCTGATTGTCGGGTCTGATAAGGATACCCGCCACCACAGTGGTTCGCGGTTCCTGAGTAGTCTCAAAGAATCAGTCAACAAAATAGGCGCCAGGAAAAGCCCTCCAAGGATAGACCAACCTGAAAGCACTTTGCTCGAACGAAGGACAGGTAACTTAACAACTTGGCCGACTTGGGGAGAGTGTGACCCTAAACCTTATAGAACCCCGTCACAGTAGTTTCCATTGTCTTTTCC